ATTAATTGCAAGTGAATCTTCCTAGTTCATTAGCATTTTAAATGACAGGGAATGATTAACTGCCTGTGAATGTGTGGCAAATGTCACATGCACTGTAATTTTACATGCATTCATGATTTTAAGTTAGAGTTTTACATGTATTTGTGAATGAACTAGGGCTGTTACTGATTAAAATTTTCGTGTTCGATTAATCGATTAATTTCGATTATAACGCACATACAGATCCAACTACATTGGCCTATACACATACAGCACAGCAATGAAGTAATAAAATGAACTAGGATCACACTAATCCAGCACGTTATTTATCTCAGGTGCCCCACTCAATATGGCCGCCGCTTGAGTGGGGCAACTCAAAATAATAACATGCTGGATTAGTGTGATCCTAGTTCATTTTATTACTTCATTGCTGTGCTGTATGTGTATAGGCCAATGCCTTGGCTGGCGCTCGTGCAGAAAGTTTCAAAAAAATTGTAATCGATCAAAAAACTTTTAATCAATCAAAAAGATTAACGATTAATCGAGAAATTAATCGTTAATTTGCACAGCCCTAGAATGAACCCTTAAAAAAAAACATAAAATGTTCCAAAACATTACAGTTTTAATTCAAAGGAATTTTAATGTTATTACTATTATTATTTTAAACATTGCAATACAATACACACCAAATGTTTTTTAATAAAAATGTATTTAACGGAGATAACTGGACACATAGTAGTCTTTAAACAAATGATTCTAATTGAAGAGATGGCCTACACCCACACCCAACTTGTACTTTGCCCATGCTAGGCACAGTAATAGATTCACTTCAAAGCAAGCACCACAAGATGCCTATAATTACCCTCCCTGTACCCCCCTGGTACCAGAGCACCCTGATAATCCTGTTCACGTTTTAACTTTCTGAAGATCAGAAATTACACAAGGCTTAGTAAGGTCTTCCTGCCACATGTGATCAGGCCTGGGGACTGGCAGGGGGAGTGTCATGTGTTTCCCCATACCAGGAAGTACTGAACATATCATGGTGCTCTGTTGGCACATCAGGGTTGTGTTGAAGTACAACCATTTGTTTTGCCTAGTATGAACAAAGTACAGGTTTGCTTTAAGAGGTTGGAAACTATGTGAATGATATGTTCTGAAAGAGTGTCCCTGCCTATCCAAGTCCCAGAGCAATTACTTTAGTCACAGGGAAGCTGGATACAAATTTTACTTCCACGGGTTAAGTAAGCAGCCTGGGGTCAGATGGTAACAGCTTCATCTAAGCCCGGTATGAATTTTCCTGTCAGCATCTCTTTCTTTTAAAAACCTTAGGCTAAAAATACAGTGTTAACATCTCCTCCATGCTTAAATCCCAATATACAATCTATCAAAAAATCATAAAATATGTACCTTCAGGCAATCTTTTTTAATTTTAGAGAGGAAGGAGGAGGAATAGATATGCTATATAGTTTTTATTCCTGGTGTATGGTCCTTTTGGGGAGAGTGTTTCTCACTAGGACAATGAGTAAGGGAAAATTGTGCCCCTGTTGAAGTGTTTCCCCTGTCTTGCCCTTGGCAATGTCACTGGGATAGGAATTGAGGGGAAAACTCCACAATGGTGCCGTAGTGCAAGAAAATAATTCTAAATATATTCAAAATTAATTACAAAATCCACTTTAAAGTGCACCAGTGCCTTGACTATGTGCATAAAATTATTTAACTTTTTAACAAGCAGTAAGGGAGCTATAAAACAAGCCCCCACTTACCTCTAGCCACTTGTATTGTGAAGTAAATAATTCTCAAAGATCCTCAAAAATCACAACAAAGACTCAGGTTTGACTCAGGACATTGGAGCACTGGCAGGCTGCCAAGATTGCGCTCTCCATGGAAAGGAGATTCGATTTCATTGCCTCTAATTTTGAAGAATTTCTTTACAATGACTATAGCTAGGACACATGAGGGCTTGGATTAAAGTGCTTGCTCATAATTGCTACTTATTCATAATATGCAAATACTTCAGTGTGCATTGTCTAGGCACTGGTTCACTTTAATTGCTTTTTTTTTTCTTTTTTTAAGAATTTTTAGAAACTTGATCAGGGTTTTCCAGAACTTAAGGCTGATGGTTTAAGAAGCCCTTTGCTCCACAGAGGAGAGAAAAAAAGAATATTGATTTTTATTAAGAAGTGCAATGTTGTAGTGCAATCCATGACATTTAAAATGTTACATACCAATGAGCTGTAGCTTCAGGTACTGCAGTGGGTTAAATCATGTTTTCCACATTTTTCATTTTATCAATAAGCCCACAAGTAAGGTTATTGAAACAATAACACAAAAAGAAAAATGGTGTTGCCAAAGCCTTGCTATGTATATTAAAATTATTTTGTTGCTTTAGTTCCCTTCGAGAATGTGTACACTGTAATTTGTATCCTTTTTTGTATTTTTACTATTCAATTTTTTTCCCTTATACTTTATAGTGGAGCAATTCTGAATTCTGTGACAAATACGGGTATGCAATATTGTATTATTGGAATCAAATGTAGCACAAGCTGAGGTCACAAGGTGAAATGTGTTATTAAATACACTACATGTTCCCTGTTGCTAAGCTTGAGTTTTGTAATTGTCCTCCATTTGTCTGATTGGAACTCACATTAGTCAATTGGCTTTTGTCACCAAACAGGTAAAAGGGATCAGTGAAACATAAAAAATGTACTATTTGTACTACAGCCTGTGTAAAACAGGCACCGTATTTTTGGGTTCATTTCACACATACTTTTCATGACAAACATCCCGTAACATACTCCCTTTATACGAAATACCATAATCAGAGCTAATACACTAAACTGCATATGAGCACTGAAAGTTACAGTGCTCTGGAGAGACTTTCTGTAATTAGGTAACTACCTATCCTATTGCAGTAGTGCAACCTGACCTACAACACATCATAAATGATTCAGAGTTAAAATGATGACATCCGTCTTGCGACATACAAGCAACAGTAATTAAAAACTGCATTTTATCTGCACTAGACTGTTTTATTGTTATGTATTATTGGTATATGTTTAAATGCTGCATGAAAGATACACATCAGTAACACAAATGTCCAATTTAACACATATAAACTAATTCATGCAAGCAAAGCTCTAAAATGCACGAACTAGTGAGATTTATTAATTCAGTTGCAAATACAGAAAAAAGCAAAATGTTATAAACATGGATCTTATCTTAAAAAAATATATGTGCTGAAAACACTTGCCAGCACTCATCGTTAAGCAAACGAAAAGATAAATTCAGCACTGAGGGTAAATGAATGCAAAATGGCTACTTAAGCTAGTCATAGATATAAATTGGTGTGTACCTTTATAGAGAGATGTGTATGAACATACATTTTTCAATTGCCCGAGTGTTTATATCCCTGCACTGAGCATACTCCTTGCATCAAGGCAGGGAAACTCCACCCAACTGAACTGTTCAATTTTTCCCCATCCAAAACAATTGGCTAGGATTGTTTAATCTTGTCTGAAGGTACTCATATAATTAATGATTGTCATTAACAAATTATGTCATGTATATGGGTAACATGCATATTCCCTGATCTTCTGCATTGATAGTTACCAGATTGTCCACTTAATATAATCATCACTGTATTGCTCAACGTAAGTTCACTTAAAGAAGTACTGTCACTTTGCCCATTAAGGGCAAAACTGCAGTGTCTTTGCAAAGGGGCCACTCTGACCACTGTTGCTAAGCTCCTTTATAAGTCACAGACAGCACTAAAATTTGCAGTGTTGTCCAGCATTAAGGAGAGTTGTGACATCAATTCTTCTGTCATGTGACAATATTTGGGCCGAGTAGTTGGTCCAAGCATTGTCATACAGGAGAAGGGTCACATGCTACTCTTATATCCAGAAGCCCTTGGAATTCAGCCGACGAGGAAGGAAGAAATGGCGTGGAAGTATTGGTAAAGTCAATTTAAGTGAATTGAGGGACCCCTTTGCAAAACCAATGTTACTTTGCCCTGAATGGCACAAGATCTATGTCTCTGTAAGACAGTCACACTTCTGCACACCATTGAATCATAGTATACCATGGCTAGTTTGGATTTCTTACTGGTTGATGCTTGTTATCTATGCTATAGCAAAAGTTGCTTGATCTAAAGAGAAGTAAACCATGATGACTTTTCGTTCAGTTTGAAAACTTATGAACAGTCACCTAATGTGGCTAGTTTTTAACTAAGACAAGAATTTGGAAGCTTTGCCCACTGCCACCAGTTAGAAAATATTCAAATGGTAGCTAATAAATCAATGCTACTCATCTTTTCTTTTTGGATATTTTCTTATTATATTATCATATCACATATTATCATCACTAAGAACATATCCTCTTCGTCCTTTTGATTAGGCTGTTAGTGCATAGCATAGGTTTTAGGTAACACGCTTGAACAGCCATGTGGAAAGTGTAACATTATGTATTTTTATAATGGATATGCCTCCTTTTGTAAGCCAGTTTGATAGACTAGGAAATTAGCCTTTTTTTTTACTTTATATAAGAGAAAAATAATTACTGAATGTCAAGCAGGTTGCAAAAAAAATATTTTAAACATGAAAATATGAACATTGTACAAAATGTTTATACCAAGCAGAAATGAAATGGCATTGGTAAATGTATAATTAAAAATCAAAATAAATGGCA